GTGGAATGGAGTCACACACACACACAGGTGTTGGATCAGAACACCTGTGAAAGACATAGGGGAAGGAGGGGGGGAGGAGGAAGGGGGGGGTGACAGGAGGGAGGAGGAGGGGGGAGGTTGCCAGGTATCACCTCCCCCCTCACCTACATCATCACTATCACCACCAATTACACTCCACCATCACCTTGTTTCATCATTGTTGCCTCAAACTAACCAATTCGTTCTGGCCAATTCACACCTCACACCTCCAACACCCCCCCCTCCCCCCGCGGTCACTCTCTTCCCTGCTCACTGTTGGGGAAACTCACACTGCCAAGGTGGACGTGTTACCTTTTGAACCAGACAGGTTATTGTGTTACCTTGAGACAGACAGACAGGTTATTGTGTTACCTTGACAGACAGACACAGGTGATTGTTACCTTGACAAATAGTATTTAAGCTAAGCTAAAGGTAAATTATTTTATGAGAGAGAGAGCCCCTTCCCCCTCCCTCCCTCCCCTCTCACATTTCACTTCCCCTCCTCCCCTCTGCTGTTCCTTCCCTCTCCCCCCCTCCCTCCCTCTCCTTCTTTTCATCCCCCCTTCCTTTCCCACACAGGTTGCTAATGGTCGCCACCCCTCACTTACTGGCTGGAGCAGGTAAGGCCGTGTGCAGAGAAGCCATTTCCTGTTCTCACCTCACCTGTTGTGTGTTGTGGTGGTGTGTTGTGGTGTGTTGCGTGGTGTGGTGTGGTTGCGTGGTGTGGTGTGTTGCGTGGTGTGTTGTGGTGTGTTTGTGGTGTGGTGTGTTGTGGTGGTGTGTTGTGGTGGTGTTGTGTTGTGTGGTGTGTTGCGTGGTGTTGTGTTGTAAATTAGTATGTTGGGAGGAGTCCGTCTGTGGCACTTGTCTGATAGATAGATAGACCACCACCACCACCACCACCATCACCACCACCACCACCACCACCACGATCATCACCACGATCATCACCACCGCCACCACGATCATCACCACCGCCATCACCACCACCACGTGACCAGAGGACTAACATCTATAGTGACCTTGTCGACCACCGCCTCTGTAACTCAATGAAGTGTTAATGACTAAGTCTCTATCACCAGCACGTCCCTAACACACCTCAACACACCCTAACACACACCTCAACACACCCTAACACCCTAACACACACCTCAACACACTCACCCCCACCTTACCTCAACACACTCACACACACCTCAACACACTCACCCCCACCTTACCTCAACACACTCAGTTGTATGTAAACTTTGAGTGAACAGACTTTAAGTTAGGTTAGGATATGCTAGGTTAGGTTAGGTTAGGGTGGTTAATCTTCAGGTGGTCTCGATTTTGTCTTCGGATCCAGTCGGTGGAAGGGGAGGGGGTGAGGGATGGGGAGGGGTGAGAGGAAAGGGGAGGGGTGAAAGGAAGGGTAGGGGGTGAGGGGAAGGAAGGAAGGGAGGAGGGGAGAGGAGGAAGGGGGAGGGAGAAGGGAGGAAAGGAAGGGGGGGGAATTGAAGGGAGAATCTCTGGGTCTCTGTTGAATTCTTGGTGTTCTCCTGTCTCGTGGGATCCAGCAGAGGAAGCGGGTCATCGGTACACTGCCACACCTATAGGGGAGGGCAGCTGGCGTGACGGTGGTAATGAGGGTCCTGTGCGTGGTGTGGGGGGGGGAGGGCAGGAGAGAAGTGGAAGGGGGGAGGAGGAAGGGGTGTAAAGAAAGGGAGAAAGAGGGGGAGGGGAAGGAAGAAGGAAGACGGAGGGAGGAGGAGTCACCCTGGCCCACCATGGTATCCTGTGTCATAATCTACACCACACTCACTCGTCTCCCCCTCACCACAGCTCGACAAATAACCGTTCCATTCCTCAACCAGGTCGAATAGGGGCGCCCCACACTCACTGATCGGCCGCGGGACTCGAACCAGGGGCCAGGAGACGAGGTTTATCATCCTCTCGGCAGTATGTGTACAGTATACCATAACATACGACACCGGTACGTTAACTTTTGTATTCTTGTACGATAAGTTTTTTAACCTGATGACGTAATGAACTATACTTCTCGTGACGTCAACACTCTGCAACGTACGATACCTTACACGCTCATAATGAGTGACGTAATACTAGACCAGGAACACACACACACACACACACACACCGCAGCAAAATGTGTGTGTGTGTGTGTGCGTGTTTATCAACCTGTAGATCAACTAGTGAGGGGCCGACACACGTGACCGGAATTAATAAACCATCGGTCGTTAGTGGAGCTGGTTCACCCCCGACCTACAACACGCCGCCATAACTTTACCTAACTAACTCACAACACACTACAACCTGTCTGACTCACAAAGGTCACCATAACTTGAGACACACACACACACACACACACACACCACACACGTTACCTCTACCTTCACCCAAGTCATCATAATGTGAACTTCTAGCATGTTCAAAAAGT